GGTCTCCAATCTTCGTAATCGATTATTGCCAAACCATCGAAATTCGTATTCGGTATCGCTTTGTCTATATCACTGCGAACTTTCGACAAATGCGCTGAAAAGGTTTGCGCGCTGCAAAATGGAATTAATTTCATTGAAACAGAAAAATGAATGAATTAAAATCGAATTGAAAAAAAATTTGATATTCTATTGGAGAGAAATCTATGAAATTACATTGATATATCCTCAATAAACAACTAAATATGGTTGTATACCGAAGGAATGATTCAATCTATCATCAAAACTGATTCTCAAAGAGTAAGTAGACTTTGTAATTATGTATGCCTCTTCCATAAGTGATGTGTTGCGGCTGTGATTCTACATGGGAGGTTAAAAGTTGAAGAAACGGATTATCTCAATGACTTGAGACATTTGTTAATTTAAATAGAATTCAGAACAGGTTCAAAAATGACTATCTCATTGATGTCATTTCAATCGGTCTCTTATTATTCCTACATCTTACTACAGGAGAAAGATTAGATAACCATAGTTGGTTAATCATTCACCTGAGGGATGCCACCGTTAACAGCCGATGTCAGATCAGAAAAATCACGATAGTATGGATATAAGCCGAATTGTTTTTCATATAAAGTAACGATAATGTCACCACGAAATTTATGTCCCCTATTCACGAGTATACCGTACTTTTCTGGTTTTTCACCTTCTTTCCATTTCGTCATGCATTGTTCACTTGGAACATTCCAAATAACCTGATTTGTGGAAAATTCGATCTTTCAATGCATATTGTTAGATATCCAATTAAATTGAAATTTGATTTTAATATTAGACTCAAATTTGAATTGAATGAAAAATAGCGGAAAATTTATTTCTTCAAACATTTCTTGTGTTGATTGATTGCTGGAAAAAAAGCAAGGCTTCTTATAATATTTCAAAAGATTGCCGTTGAAGCTTTCTTATAATATTTCAAAAGATTGCCGTTGAAGCTAAGCAATACAGTATTATTCGATAATTACATTGATTCATTTCATTATTGCAAAGATAACAAACTTCAAATTGATTCCATTGACGGGCATTAATTACAGTTAACCAAGTAATGGTTAAAAGTTGGGAAAATGATTGGACCATTTGATGGATGAATACTTCCTTAAAAGAATATGTCCTAATATATGGTAGCGTTAATCATTTTTTTTTAATTGTAAACGTTGAAAGCATGATATGAGACATTGTAATTGAAGTGAATTAATTCGATGAAATTATTCACTTCATCTTATTTGTTTGAGAAACAAGGCTTCCAAATGTGATTACTATTGTTATCGTAATTGCCTAATACATAGAGAAGGGATTTATAGATCAGAAAATGATCCTACTTCTTCTTTTTAGAAAAGAAATGAGAAGACAATGAAGAGAATACACTTATCTCCAGTTCCTTCTTCCTCTTCAATTTTTTAAGATGAAATAAAGGGAGTTATGAAGTTCGCTGGCTAGACAGTTTCAATCATTATACTTTCAGGATAGCGCATTAATTAATCTGTTATATCTCACTCTTGGCTTGTT